CAGAAAATCATATGAGTTATAATAAAAAAGAGTTAAATAAATAAATAAACATTTTCTTATCAGTTTCTATTGTGCCATTGTAAAAATGGGAATTCACTGCATAGAAATCTGCACAATTTCACATCAATGAGCCATTAAAAACTGTTAATGACTTGGTGAACTCTGGCGTGGCTCACAGAAGGCAGAACTCAATGACAGAGTAGGGAAGAAAACATCTATGTTGTGTTCTACTTGAAAGAGAAACTTTTCTAGGGAAGTTTCTTCTTTTGATATTAAAAGCACAGACTTCTTAGCAGTTTCCTCTGGAGTGGCTTTTTTATTTTATTTTTACCTTTGTTGTTGCTTGTTATTTGTTTAGTTACACAAGATAGAGCTTTCTTTAAACTTAATGAAGAGAGTGCTTCTTCTCTGTTAATGCAGAGAACAGTATATCTGCACACAGAATACCTCAGTGGGATGCTGGCTGACAAAAAGTGCAATGTATTAGTTTCCCACCTTAATTGCTCTCCTAGACCCCCGTCAAACTGTCTGGGTAATGAGAGTGCAGTAGTGGGATCTAGGTAGCATTGCCAAGCTCCCTGGCTGGAAAGCTCAGGTGGGAAGCATCCCACATGGGGGATTGGTTCTTGAAGAGCTGGCCTCCTGGGAAGTCTGTCATATTGCTGGAGCATGAGACTTGAGGACTCTTTCAAAACAAAAACAAAAACTCAATAACTCAATACTCAATATCTTAGGGTTAGTTTGACGAGGAGGGGGGCTGTTGTATATGAGACTGTTACTTGTTCATTGATGTCACAAAACCTCTCCGATATCCTATGGGACCTTATACATCCATAATAAAATAATGAACCCGATTTTTGTAGAAAAACTGTTGTTCTTGAAATATCCAGGACTGTTAAGTATTTGGCAACCTCAGTTGCACCCATGGCTAGGAACAGGGAATAGTCCATCAAACTGAGTTATTTGCTGGGATTCCTGTGGTATGTGAGTTGTATGATATCCTTGAATATGAGAGCATCTGGGCATAGAAGAGGAGCAGAGCATGACAGAATAATTTCTATTACACTGAAGTTGGGTGGATGCGGTTAAGACAGTATTGCAAAAGAGAAATCTGTGCTTTCCACGCTGGCTTCCAGGGTGTCTTGATGGAGCCCAGGTGCTTGATGTTTTTTTGGTATCTCTTGTCCTGCCCCAAGTCAAATGGCATCATAAGCCAGGAATGCCAGTTCCCTGCAGTTTACTTGCTGCTGGAAAATAAGGCTGTCTGCCGTGGCTCTGGGAGGATGAAAGATGCGGGTGAGCAGCACTGACTGCCCTTTTGTATTGTTAGTATCTCCTATCAGTGTGCAGTTTTGTTTACAGAAAGAATTAGTGGTCTTTAATTAAGAAATAAAGCGACAGAAATAAATGACTTTTTATAAGAATATTCTATTTAGGGAGTGAGGGGAAGTAATTGTGGCAAGCTATTCTGAAAATGTCATGCAATCTACAGTTAAATTATTTTGTTCTTTCCTGGATCTGTTTTTTATGAAATTGGTGAGTCAAGCAATTGTCAGTAATATTTTTGTTTTCTTTAATTTTTTCTTACCTTATATGAACTATATGCATCTGTCTATATTACAGCTGAATGACAAAAATACACAGATAGCAGGCAGAGGAAGAATATAGGCTTTATTTAGAATTAATTTTCCGTAAGTGTTTATTAAGTGCATCTGTCATGTCTTATTCTGGATTTGTGCTGCTAGTCTCTTACTGGGAAGTCATTATTTTTTTTTGAAACCTGATGACGTTGAATACTCTAATTGCATTATTCTCATTCAGAAGTCTATGTAAGCAGTGTGGGACTTATGTTGAGGCATATCTTACTTACTGCTGTCTTTTTTTAGTCATTTAGCAAAAGCACATCTACAGTCTATTTTTAATATATTTTAGATGAACCATTTTGTTCATTGTCAAGAATATTCAATTTCTTTCAAAAAATAAATGTCATTGTACAAGAGACGGTGCTTGTAACATAGGTCATGCAATTAATTTCCCAAATGGAAAACTTGCACTTAAGAGTGCTTTTGAAGAAAATAGGTACAAATATGGATAAATCAAGAAGCCTCTTATCATATACTTCATGATGGTGGTATCCTGTATATGCGTGTAAGGGAGAACAAGTCAAATGGATTTAAAAAGGCTTGAAAGAAAATTATTTTCTTTTGAAAGTTAAATGTCTAAGTGAGTTCTTATAGAACTGGGACTTGGTAAATAGCCTTTCTTCCAAGTGTCAGGCAGAAAAGAATAACTGATCTGTATTGCCACTTACCTGTTTGCTAATAGTAGTGCACATTACCTAGTGCGTAAAATAAATGGCAGCATACGGATGAGTTGAGGGCGCCCATTGAAATGCTTTTGGACTCATACTCTTTGACATGTTCAGAAGCAGTGGTGTCTTAGACATTAAGGTCTTCATTGTACACCACACGGTGTTTGTGTGTATTGTGGTGTTTTACAATGAAACAGTAGTTTCATTTAAAAGCAGTTCTAAGGGCCAAAGCCTGAGTATTTATTAGTTAAGTACAAAGTGGGGAAAGGCACTCCACAAAGCATTAGTGTTCCTGTCTTCTGTTCTGTGCATATGTTTGGTGGCAAAGTCCTTTTATGGATCAAAGTTGGTGGTTCTGGTAATTCATAGCCAAGTTTGTAGGGGAATGAAACTAAAGAGAATAAAAGCTTTTGTATGTCATTGCTCTTAATGAGAATTTAACTACTGGTATTTCTCATTATTGGTGACTTACGGAACAATTTTTAGCTTCTCTCAAGCTGGTCAAGCACATTTGAGAGCTGCGTGGTAAGGTGTAACCTGATCATAGAATCGCAGAATGGCGCGGGTTGGAAGGGACCTTACAGACCATCTAATTCCAACCCCTCTGCCGTAGGCTGGCACACCTACCACTAGACCAGGTTGCTCAAAGCCCCATACAACCTGGCCTTGAACATTTCCAGGGATGTGGCATGCACAGCTTATAGAGGCAACCTGTTCCAGTGTCTCACCACCCTCTGAGTAAAGAATTTCCTCCTTATATCTAACCTAAATCTACTCTCTTTCAGTTTAAAGCCATTCCCTCTTGTCCTATCAGTTCACCCCCTGACCAAGAGTCCCTCCCCAGCTTTCCTGTAGGCCCCCTTTAGGAAGGCCACTCTAAGGTATCCTCAGAGCCTTTTCTTCTCTATGCTGAATGTCCCCAACTCTTTCAGCCTCTTGTTGCTCTCTGCTATTATAATAGAGTATACAAGTTATTTGAGCATCTATTTGTTTAGAAAGGCAAGTGAATGGAAGGCATGGCTCTCAGTGTCTGGTTAACCTAGACTTTTAAGTGACTTTGTTGGAGAAGCAAGAAATGAGGTGGAAAGCTCTGGAAGAAAGTGGTTGGAGGCTGCTGGAACTGGGAACTGGCTCATGAGAATTTCTGGTCTCTTGGTCTGGAGGATTTTGTTTACAGTATGTTTGCTTGTGGTTTAGTTTTGGTGTGTGAATTCTAGAAGTTTAAGCTATGTGAAGATTGTGCTGGTGTGCTCAGGGCTGGAGCAACTCTGCTTGCCTGCAGCACCAACACCACCTTTGTGGAGGCTCTCTGGAGGTGTGGCTGCACCCTAAAAGGGGTGAAAGAGAAAAGAAAATGGTACAAAAACAGCTTCAGAGAAGCTTTATGCTATACACTGAGGCTCTTGTGAGTCTCCTGCTCAGCAGCCAGATAGATCTTTCCTCTTCCACATATCTTGAGATTTTTCAGGCATTTTGATTAGCAAGTAAAAGTGTTCTCACTGCCTTACAACCTAATAAGCAGGCACCTTTCCATCATTAGGAAAGGAGATATGTGCTGGTTGTGGTTGTTTGAAGACTGACATCAGAAAGGTGCAATCTTTGAAGACACAGCTAAATTAATACATTCAGGGTTTTCTTCAAATCCTGATACTCAGCATCAATTGCATTCTTCTGTCAGAGGGTATTCAGTGTGGTGCAAAGTTTAGGTAGACCCATGCAAAACTAGGAGTCTTTCTTATCCCCTTGGCACAGGGATCGACGTGCTGCAGAACTTCACTGAGCTGGTTTGGTCCTCTGAGGCAAGGACTGGTGGGGAAGAGGTGTGTGCTCTTGCTCTGCAATGCTCTTTGCTCCAGGCAAAGTCATGTAGTCAGCTACACATCATTAGACTGGCACACAAACTGAACAGCTACACTTGGTGTGGCCCCAGAGCAGGACCTGGCCCTGTAGAACAGGAGATCAGCAGGGTACAAACAATCTCAGAGTAGAAAACACACTCTGACATTGCACCACTCTTCTGCGTGTCCCTTCATGAGCTGCTAGTCAAGAGTCCCAGGAAAGGGCAGGTTCCTAGGAGAGGGCACCTCCAGTACTGCCTCTTCATCATGCAGCCTGCAATGGCAGAGGTAGGCTGGGAGAGAGGTTAAGAGGCACTGACAGCTTGTTACTCCTGGATGCATTGCATTAAATGTATTCACACTTCTATTTCCTCTTAGAATTTTTTCTCTGGCATAAATGTTTTCCCTCGTTTCTGGACTCTTATAGTACTCTAATAACTAATGCAATAGCTTCTGCAGCACTCAGAAAAGTCTTCCTGTCCTGTGTTCCCACTTCTCCTCTCCCCTTCCTGATAGAGCCATTGCTAATATACCTGTTATTAGAGACTGTCAGATATGCATTCATAATGCAGTATACTGTAAGAATTCAGGGCTCTGTTTGGGTTTCAGGAGTGATTGGTGTTGTTCAGAGGTAGAGAAGCCACAGCTGCCACAGCTCTCCAAATGTTATGATTTATGGGCAGCATAACATTATATTACTCGTGTTAGTAACATTTACATATTTATTTTGAAGATAGGACAAATATCCTCTGTTGGCTTGATTTTCGGTTCCAGTCCATTTTGATTTGATTTGCTATGGCAGGATAAGATGTTGCTAACTTTTCTTTCCTTCTTCCTTTCTGTTATTGCAGGTCTTGATGACTGCCTGCAGCAATATATTAAGAACTTTGAGAGAGAGAAGATTAGTGGCGACCAACTACTACGTATTACACATCAAGAACTGGAAGATCTTGGAGTCACGCGAATTGGCCACCAGGAACTTATCTTAGAAGCAGTAGACTTGCTCTGCGCACTGGTAAACTTCTTGGGGCAAAAGGGGAGGGAGCGAATAGTACTTGCATATTGATCACTTGTATATTCAGATTTCTAGACCTAAAAACTATAAAAAATAGTTCAAGAAACTCCTGACATGCAATGTATGAACAATTTAACATTTTAAAATACAGGAAAGATAAAGAACAATATCTATTGCTAAGGTAGTCTTTGTTAAATAACTTGGTACCAAAGATTTAAGAGTTCCATATCTGTCTTTATAGGAAGAAAAAAAAAAAAAAAAAAGCCTGAAATCACAAGACTAGACTGTGTTTGGTTTGGAATGTAGAATAATTGTATATTTTAAAGCAGTAATTGAGTGCCGGTTGCCCTTTACAAACAAAATGTCCTGATATTAACCATGTCATTTTTCACTGATCCTTCATGCAGTCCCTCAGAGTATAGCAAATTATTTTTTAGATGATTATTCAAGCTTGCTGAAACATAGCTGCTTGTATTTCACAGTAGAAAGGATTAAATACTGAAATAATTATCTTATGTGTAAATAATACATACATCTATGATGCAGTATACAGAGGGATTTTGCAAATGGTCTTTTCAGTCACATTGTGTCACGCAAAATTTGGATTATCCCCTCAGTGATGGGTGTGGTGCTGGCTTTACCATTCTTATAAATTTTTCGTGTGTGATTGTAAAGATCAATGATAGATTGGGTACACTGTCTGCATTCTCTGCTGTAGGAAGGATTGTGAACAGCTCTGCTAAGATCTACTTGACTGCCTGAAGTGGTATTCTGTAGATTTTTAATGCATACTACTTCTCCAAGCTTCAGAAGCAGCTTTAAGGAAGCTGAATCCCAGTAGAGGAAATCAAAGATGGTACTCTGAAAGGCTCTTCAGAAGGCCTTGTGGGTTCTCAATATGCAGCAGCTTTTCTGAATATCCTATTATTGCAACTTTGGGAGATAGATGTGAGGAGTAATGAAGAGAGTGAAAAGAAAAATTAAAAATGTAAAAGGAAAAGTAAAGAAGGGGAGAAAAGACTTTCTGTGCAGGAAGATATTATGTTTTAAACATTCCTTAGACTTTCTTCTTTAGAGTAGTATTCGTAATACATGTATGTGTTATGAAGTAGCTCAGTGTGATAAGTTAACTCATTTATTTTGTTTGTGTGTTGTTGATTCTTTAAATAATGGAAAGGCTGCAATCCATCATTTAAAAAAAAAATGTACAGACATACAAGGAAACAGAGTTAGTCACAAAGTACTTTTCTCATCAGAAAATGCAATGGAAAACAAGAAAATAAATACTTAATTAACGGTAGGGTGAACACTGAGGACAATTCCTTCTAAGCACACAAGGGAGACAGATTGTGGCTTTTTCAAATATATCCTATTTTCACAGAAATAACTTTGTTTGTTAGCTGAAATTTCCTTTTGTTTTTCTGGTTACATAATTAGAGATGTTATCTTTAGACAAACAAACACATCTTGTATTTGAAGCTGCCTTATCATAGACAATAGTGTATGGAACTAAGTTGTATATCAAATAAGGAATTTGTAGTGAAGACTAACACTGCCTTCTTAATTCACGCAATAAGTCTCTACCTTCCTGGTCCATGTTGTATATAGTGTCTGCTTTTCTGAGTTGGTCTTAAAGAAAACTCCATCACTGAAACATGATAACAGGCATTCAGATCTCAACTTCTAATTTAAGTTGAGGCTTTTTCAGTCTCACAGTTGGCTGCTGATGGCTCCTCAGGGACACAAAATGTGATTGTTAAATTGATTTTGGTGGACTTAATTTGAATTTATTGTTCACCAAACAGATAAACCTCTTAGGAAATTTAATTCAGAGGCAATCCTTTTGGCTATACTACTCCTATACTTACAGCCTTTCTTTTTTTTTATTGCATCAGTAAGTATCTGTCCTGGTCAGTGCTTGCCTGTTCTTCTGATTAGCCTCTGAAATGGGCTGTATGTTCAGGAGAACTGTAAGCCCATGAGTGTTCAGCATAGAACAACTGCTCATGCAGGTAGTCAATGTGCGAGTTTTTGAAATGAAAGTTTTCTGCTTATTTCTTGTTACACTGGAGTTTAACAGGATTCATGATACAATTTGCATGAGTTACAGGTGTTGGATCCAACTGAATTAAGGTCTAATTGGATGCTGGAAATTATCAGTGGTAAGATGAGATAGGAATAATAATATTAATTTTGCCTTGCATACATAATCTCTGATTTTAAGCTAATCGTTAAAAGCCAAAGGGATTGCAGCTTCTCGTTCATCTCCCCATTCTCTCTGAGTCAGTGAGTGACCACCTAAAGAGTTTTTTTGGTGTTGAGGACAAAACCACTTCCCACCATTTATTCCTTCTCCCACTCTGCAAAGAGAGGTTTCTAAGGCAGAGGGGCTATCAGTGAGGAAAGCTGCTGTGATAGTTGATATGCTTTAGGAGATTCCTTCTTTCTATCCCTTTCCAGCAGTTTTTTGGGGAAGACTTCTGGTGATTTCTGCTTTTTAGCTGTGTTTATGGCAAATAGCAAACTATATTGTTGTATTACATGTCTGTAGCTCATGGGCCAGTATTTTCTTCCTGGAGGGAAGTGGAGGACCTGAATAAACCATGTTTGACAGGTATGGAGAATGCTTGGGACCTCCTTAGCAAGCAGGCTGTGAACAGTGCTGAAAAGGCAAACTGCTTGGTGCATTAACAGTGGGAACCACTTATGATTGATAGCCTTATTTAAAGGAATTGGTTTGCTGACATTTGACAGAAGGTGGGTGGCTATGGTCTCTCACAGTATTTCCATCGTGTCATAAGCACTTGCAACAAATGGATTCTCCGGTGTTTGCTAGCTGTTTGGAGGACAAATGGTGGCCTGTGTCACTTTCTCAATTGAGTCTCTCTTGGCTGCCAGCTGCCATACTGTGCTGTTGACAGGACAGCAAGTACACGGGCTGAGATTCACAGGTTTTCTTTTCCTGTGCTGCTACAGAGAAGGTGGGATAAAGATTTTGCCCAGCTGCTACTGCTGTTACAGGTCATTCCTGGTGATGATAGTGGGGGTGGACATGTATCATACCATCACTGAAGCTGAACGTGCTCCAGGAGAGAGCGAGTACTGTAACCAATGTGGTATGAGTCTTCACTCTCTCCTTCAGTCTGTGAAGGTGGGAGTATGTTCAGTAGATTATCTTGCCATTATGTTTTTGTTTGTTTGTTTGCTTGTTTTGTTTTATTTTTATTTTTTTTAACAACTTTGTCAGAAAGGGCAAGATAAATGAAATGCACTCTGTGCTTAAAAATGCTTAAAAGCAGGAATTAAGGAGGTATGTGATGGTATTTAATTGCTAGAGTTTGGTGCATGGTTTTGGATGAGTTCTTGAGAAAACACCATGATGGAGCTACTCCTGTAGAGTTTCTCTGTTTCCAGTAAGACATGTCTTACTTTCCCTTTCTGTTCAAATTGGTACGTGAAACCAAGACCATGCTGTTGAAACCAACAGATAGATTCCTGCTTGATGTAGAAATGCATGTTGATTCATGCTGACAAAATCTCAGAACTGGCTGAAAACTGATAAACCAAGAAACTGCATGCCCAGTTGTGGAGAGATGGGAGAACTTCTACTGAGTTAACTATCACGGTATTTTTTTTACCCGAACTACTCCCAGTTAATAAAAGATACACTTGCTCATCACTTATAAAAATTATCACCTAGAACCAGCCCTAACTTCATCCTTTCCTGATGCTCATTATAGTGAAGCTAGTGTAAGACTACTTTACATTCCATAAGTAAACAAACCAGAGCAGCAGACCTTCATCCACACAGAAAATGCCAGGAGCCTTGCTTCTCAGATGGCTGCTTTAAGAACCCAAGCTTACTGAACAATGCCAACTGAAAATGAATTGAGGAAAGACAGAGGTGATGCTTACAAGAGGAATGTATATTGAAGAACAGATTACTTAGGTAATGCCATCAAATTGCTGTAGCAATCTTCAGTTTTGAAATGCATCAGAAGGTCTTGTACCTCCTGAAATACCTAACTTTGCAGGAGGAAAAAAAGAAGTCCATAATTCTTGTTCCATCTTCTGTTTGTCAGGAGACGATGTTTCAATTTATCAAACTGGGTATGACCATATTTTGTGGAGTGTCCTTGGCCTCTGATCTTTGTCTCCTTGGCATCAACTTTTTCCCAGAAAATGTTACTTTCTGCCTTGCTGTCTGGAGAATAGAAAGATTGCACAGCCAAAGATTTCTTCTTCCATCTTTAAGAAAATGATCCAATGTTCCTGACATATCACCACAATATATTGATGCTTAAGGGTGGTTTTTTTTGGTAGTGGTGTTTGTTTGTTTGTTTGTTGTTGTTTTTTTTTTTTTTTTTTGCTTTGCTTTTCCAAATTATAATGTACATTTTGTTTGAATGAAGAATATTAAGTTATCTTCATTTCATCGTTAACACTTTTTTTAAAAAATGAGAACTTGAAGTGGAAATTATTTTATCCTGAGATGATAAGAATATTTAGAAAACTTCACAAATTACATTTGAATGCTTTAAAATTTTATTTAAGCAGATGTGTTAAAGCCCTATGAATTTACAAAATATTTTTCAGGGAACCTGCATTTGTGTAGAAGAGATTTTTGTTTAAAAGAAAAAAATGTTTTTGCTTTGTACAGAATACTGATTTTAGTACTGGTTTCATGCAGGTTACTTAAATTTGCTGTGGCTGTGCAGGAATTTATTATACACTGTACATTTGAATCTGTAAAGCTAGAAGACTACAGCAGATGAAATAGCATTATTATTTGGCAGACAAAATGTTGGTGTGTGTGCTAACAACATGAAATTACTTATCATTTACCACTAACACACATTCATTTGCATATAAATGTTTTAAAAAGTGGATCTACTTTACCCATGAATGATTCAATTCCTCTTAAGAATTATGCCTTTTATCTTAATTTCATCTTCTTGCCATTTCTCACACACATACTTTCCTTTGCCCTTATGACTACT